TGGATGAGAATTGGGTAAAAGAGATCATGTAAAACGACCCTGGAAACATCGGGAATATTTGTGTGTGTGTGTGTGTGTGTGTGCTTAGTCATTTTATATGCCCGTTTTTCCTGCTTGGCTATTTAATATTTTTCGCTTCTAGGTTTTTTTAGAGTGCTCTTTAATTAACACAGGTAATGATCAATTCTTGGTTACCCGTATTTTGTTCATCTCGGGCATTATCAGGGCTTATTAGCTTGAATCTGTCTAGTCCACCATGATCCTTTGATTATGTGTTTCCGGAGGAAAATTACCAAACTGAATACTAGGCCTACAGCAACACTTAACTTCATCATAAATCATCTAATTCGAGTAGGTTGAACTGGGTAATGTGTATATAATGCTGGCTATACTTGCCCATCTTTTGGTCCGACTTGACAGTTTGTGTAGACAAACCTCGGTCTGCAAAGTCGGAACTCTAAAACTATCAGTATGGTTTGTATAGAAAGTCCTATTATCCAGGCAGCCATATATAAACAGTTCGGTTTGTGGTATTTTTATAAATAAATGAGCAACAAAGCGAGGAAAGTTGCAGTGTCACCATTGCGAATTTAAACTCTGGAAGAAAACGTCGATAAGAGAAAACCTAAAATCATAACAGGGATAACTATCATAGATTCGTAATGTCACTTTCCATGTGATCCGTCTTCAGGACTAACTAATCTACGGACTTGGAACCTAACCAATCCTTACGAAATTTAACCAAATTCCAACCTAATCTTAAGGCCTGAAACATTCGAAGTTTTATTCAGATTTGTCTGCACAAACAAAACTGAATGCAGTGCCGGATTAACCATGAGGCACTTGAGGCACTGGCCCCCAAATCCAAACATTCTCGAAGATGAAGCATATAAAACATGATCTTCGTTCAACGATGTCCTAGCAACGTCTCAATTTTCTGTCTCTTATGAACATTGAATGTGTTATTTTGCAGAAGCTTAATATTGATGAAATCATTGATAAATTTTGGTATATTTTGCTATATTTTGTTATTATATATATATATATATATATATATATATATATATATATATATATATATATATATATATATATATATATATATATACCCAAGTTGATCTGTGCCTCAGGCCCTTATTAAGCTTAATCCGGCCCTGACTGAATGCGTTCCGACAATGTCTTAATTTTCACCAGTAACAGTAGCCAATAAGTTATTTTTTAGGCTAAGTTCCCACTATCACTATTTTAACGTGATTGCGCTCTAATTGACTAATCGTCCATTACCGGCGAACAGCGCGAGAATTATATTCGACCGTGACTCTGGCGGCATTTGGCATTTATTTCGCCGTGAGTCGATCATTGTGTAAGCTTGTGGGGTTTCGAGATGCACACTCAGGATGGGTTGGAGAAAGAAAACTCACAATGCGCTCTCTGTAAATATATTGTATTGGATGTACAGTGCAGCTTGGTGCTGGGAAGTTGCAGCATGGTTAGAAGCTGGAGTAGGAGAGAGCTGGTTGGTGAGGAGCTTGCTCAGAGGAGGTGTTTCGTGCTGCGTGGCTGTAGGTTTGAAGAAGCAGGCAGGTCAGGGCGAGGTGAGGTCTTATATAGCGGAGGTAGGCGTGGCTTGATGGCTGACCTCGCTTTGTCAGGCGTCGCTAGTAGCCGACCTTAGACCACGAGGCGTTGGCTGGGAAACTCGAAAAGGGATCGGCTAGTCTGCGACAAACGGCAGTTGTAGTTGTATGGGAGATATCCACTACAAGCTATAAACATAACCATACGAGTATTTCTGTTGTGCATGGAATCTATTGACAAAAATAGAATTAAAGATTCGTTTTAGGTCGAACATGGAATTTCACATTTATTTTTATATAGGGAGATAGAAAAACTATATTCTATCATTTTTCCGGCGCAAATTTATATTTTTAGAGTATTTTAACTGATAAGACCTCCCCATTGCCAACAATATTGGTTGTTCAAAGTGGGCAGTAGAGGGAAAATGTAGGATAAAATACTAAAAAGAACATCAAACAAGCATTTGAAAACCTTGACTAACTTGCAAAAAGGTTAAAAATGCGGTAATGTCTGAGAACACCACTACCACCAGAAGGAGTTAATTGATTTTGTTCATGTTTTCCACAGATGTTCTTATCATTATAAAAGGGGCGACATTTACTAGAACCTAATAGAACCTGACCTAACCAACCAAAGAAACCTGCCTAATCTTACCTAACTTCCTAGCCGGGGGGGGGGGGAGCAGACCCCCATCATATTAAACAGAAAGTGCTTAACCAATCAGAGCGCACTCACGGTAAAATAGCGTTAGTAGGAACTTAATCGGCCAAGGCAAAATATCCACTATGTTTGTTTAATAACTATTCCAAATAATTTATAATGAAGTTAATTGATATGTACTACACCACACAATGAAAGATGGCTTTAGAAATTTAATAGTAAAAAATATTTAAATTTTATTTCAAAATCTTCCGATTTTTCTTTAATTTGCCACTTTATCTTTAATTTCCATTACTACGTATCTACGACTTCATTAGTACTACGCATTACAAGTATTAAGAAGTAAAAATTAAGAGACAGAAGTTTTATCTAATGCAGTATAGCTAGTTCAGTATGATATTGAAACTGACAAAAAATAGACTGCAGCTCTTCCTTTGCAATAAAACACCCTCCTTCAAAATCTGAGAGCGAACTGAGAAGTTTGTGTAGACATACCTGAACACAGGAATAGTCCAAGTGACGTTGTATGAGCGCAAGCAAAGGGTCTCACGGGCATCAGCTGAGAGGCATTTATCGGTAGCATTTCTATTGGGGTATTCTATCCTAACCTTTATTTACTATAATATCAACGGGTAATGCATCAAATAAAGAAGAATTAAGAGTTAGCCCCAGGTATTTCACAGGTTACAAGATGGGTTCTTTCCTACATAGTGCAATAATTTGTTTACTCTTTTTTTTGTTAGTTTTCTTTAAGATCCAAGTAATATAAATGAAAAGAGACGTGACCGATCGCCCAAGCGGCTAACGAGCCGATCAGTGGCGAAGAGGATAAAAGTAAAAAGTAAAAGTAATATTGCTTCAGCTGTCTATAAGCCGTATACAGTCAGGGTCTAACGTTCGAAGCAGTGAAACTGTATCACGGGAATGAGTCTCCTTGTGTCCTTACTTGAAGCTGGCGGACGCTCGCCCCACAAGGGGTCACAGCTCAAGATTGAAGAAGTAGCAGGTCCAAAAAACTGCGAGGGCAAACTTTTTCGGAGTGAGAGCTGTGAACTCTTGGAACAATCTACCTGAAAGTTTTGTGACGGCACCGAGTGTGAGCTCTTTCAAGACAAGACTTGACCAACACTGGAGTCGGTTCAGGTACATTCAGGAGCCGGTGCATGCCCAGTACTTGCCAACAGTGCTTAACAAAGACGTGACCGATCGCCCAAGCGACTAACGAGCCGTTCAGGGGTGAAGAGGATAAAAGTAAAAAAGTAAAAATAGCTTAAATAACCTAACTGTCGTCTAGTCCGGGTGTACTGTTTTATCTCGTATGGGGTCGAACTGCTTCACACGAACTTTTGACCCTAACTGTACATGGATAAAAGATTTACAGCTGTTTGTCATTGTTTATATACCTGCATTGCGCATGTACAGTTCATTATATATCGTACCTGCATTGTCTATATACACTGTGCATTTTCACTATGTACAGTACCTTACAACTTTGTATACCTACACTATGTACTGTACATTATTTGTATACCTGAGCTCTCTCTATGCACATTTACTATATCTTCACAATGTATAATTTAGCATTCAGTTTGGATACACATTCAAGTTCGTGATAACAATGAATGAGTAACATTACCAAGAACGCCAGGGGTGTTCTGTATGGGTTTTGCAGCTTCCATTATTTGGCGAAGTAATTATTTCTTCTTTAAGCCGAAGGCGGCCATTTTGAACAATCGTGTACCAATCGCTCTTGAACTTCAAATACTCTGTAAGTAACTATTGAAAATCAGACCCATGTCAAAGACCTTCAGATGGTCTTTGCCCATGTTCCTAAAACATTTTCAACTGGGAATTATTTAAAATATAAACAATGGGGAATTGACAGTCATGGAACACCCTGTATGTCACGAGGAATAAAAAAAAGTGTTGCGTTATTAGAATTAAATTTTAAGTAATAATTCCATGTAACTACTAAATCCCAAATAAGTCGTAAATAATATGCTTAATCGTAAGAGATAAGAAGTTAGGTATATGTAATAAGTATTAGTCATAAGTATTACGGCTTTCATGAAAAGTTGCCTTAATTAATAATATAATGTGATTAGCCATATATCATAAATCGTAAGTCATGTCATCACCGACTGCACACTTGCACTCATCCTTTGTGAACGAACGATTTGTTGTAATTTCACCAAATGTACAGTGTTGTGAACAATAGTTGCCATCAGCTGTGACCAAACACAGAGAGAAGTGTCTGTCCTGTCTGGAAGGAAAACGGGACAAAATTTTCCATTTCAATATTTATTTAAAAATATCTTTTAATCTGTTATCTTAACGCATTTTCACACAAAATCAGTTTATTTTTAATAGTTACTTGAATATAAGCATAAAATAACTAGTTGTGGCGAAAAGTCATCCCTTGTGAACTAATACCAATACCTTTGTTGTAATTATACGAAATATAGTGTCAACAATAGTTGCAATCAGCTGTAGCGAATCACAAGCTGTGCTTCAATTTTCCTGCATTCCAATTGGTTACTGGAGCAGCGACTAAAGAGAAAACGGAATAAAATTTCTGTCATACTCAATTTTATTAACAAAATATCCATTTACTTGATCATTATAATATGAATTGACTCTAAATATCCACTTATTCTTAATATTTTTATTTATACAGCCGCAACATACACAAGTTGTTGGTAGAAATCAGGTGAATTAATTGATGTGTCAGGGTCGGGCTTGGCGTGGATCGTCTGGTGGTTTGTAGCTTTATCATCTGTTACCAGAGAAAGTGACTGTCTGTCTGAGTGTTGGACTGAAAGTGTAAGTTTTCGCTGCGCAGTAGTACCAGTATTGGCGTATCTCAGTGTCAGTTGAGTCACTTGTAAGAGCAATTAGTTCTATTTGTCGTTTTGACGAGTTAAAGATTTGTGGAGATCCAGGGGAGGCAGAGTGAGTAGCGTAATATTTTTGTTTATAATTTTGTGTAAGATTATTCCATAAACTACTTCAACACATCGAATTCTGAATCCTAGCAACATTAACCATTTGGGCATATTTCTGTGTGAGTTAAGCTACTTGTAGTGTGTGTAGTTCGGGAGTTAATAATCACTGGAGGTCTTAAGGGAAGGACAGTAAGTATGTAACATTTTTGTTTTTAATTTTGTGAAAAAAAAAATCCATTATAACACACAGAGCTGTTAATCCCTTAACCAACAACTGTTTGTGGCGTATTCTAGTTTGATTGTTTACTTAAATGATCAGTAGTTAACGCGTGGAGTTATTGAGCACTGCAGGTTTAAGTGAATTACAATCTAACTTAACATTTGGTGTATGATTTCATGCAAAAGGAAATTTCTCATAAACACTTGAAGCTGTTTGTCCTTGAAACATTAGACCCTTTAGTATAATCCAGCATTAAATAAGTGAGCTAAATATATACTTTTGATATAAGTAGTTAGGAGGTAAAGCACTTTCTTAAGTTGGGTTCTCAAGCATTTTCCAGTGCCTATCCACCGTTAATGCTATCGCCTATCTAGTACGACCCCAAGGGCAGTGAAATGAACCATCAATTAACAATATTGTATCAGATATCAGGTGGAACAAATGAGTCAGTTGGTTGAAAATGTTCAAAGTAGGGCCACCAGACTGGTGCCTGCACTAAGGCACCTCAGCTACCCTGAGAGATTGGAGCGCCTGAACTTGCCCAGCTTATACTACAGACGGGCAAGGGACAACCTAATTGAGGTGTATAAGCATCTCAGGGGGCACTACTCAGTTGAGTGTCCTTACTTGGAGCTGGCGGACGCTCGCCCCACAAGGGGTCACAGCTCAAGATTGAAGAAGCAGCAAGTCCAGAAAACTGTGAGGGCAAACTTTTTCGGAGTGAGAGTTGTAAACTCTTGGAACAATCTACCTGAAAGTGTTGTGACGACACCGAGTGTGAGCTCTTTCAAGACAAGACTTGACCAACACTGGAGCAGGTTCAGGTACATTCAGGAGCCGGTGCATGCCCAGTACTTGCCAACAGTGTGTAACAAAGACGTGACCGATCGCCCAAGCGGCTAATGAGCCGATCAGTGGTAAAGAGGATAAAAGTAACGTAAAAGTACTTGCTAAAATCAAATAGTGTCGTGATGTTTCAAGTTAACTTAAGGAGTGGAGGCCACAGCCTTTATGTCAGTATTTTTCTTGTAGTTCTAAGACTAGACCCACTAACAGTACATTCAATTAAGAAGAAATTGAAGCTCTACTTGATTTTGCATCTAGTGTATACTATATATATATATATATATATATATATATATATATATATATATATATATATATATATATATATATATATATATATATATATATATATATATATATATATATATATATATATATATATAGTGTAATCAATTGATCAATTTAGAAATATGCTACCTGAGTTTCTGTGTAATTTTCCCTTTTATAATGTAGGATATACTATGGAATGGTATACCATACAAATACTCCTTCATGCACAATTCCGAGAGTCCTTACAGCAGCTTTCCATCCAGCATTATTTACTCGAGGACTCTTCATCCAGGTCCAAAACTTTCACACCAAACACAATGAAGCCATTATTCTTGTATTAATTTGACTGGGGAAAATGCAGATGCCCAAGACATACTACTGTCTGTTATATTTTATAATAGGAACATTGAACAGGGTTGGGAAATGATACACTACCGTATACTGTATAGCGTTGTCTTCAGGAATAATTAATTACAAAACACTGAAAATATCAAGCTGTGGATAGCTAGAACACCTTCCATCTACTGTTATTAAGGCTAAAGATTAAGAAGATGAAGACCACTGTATTTCCTGATAATGTCCATTGGAAAATAATATATATTTTTTTTAATTTAGCTAAAAAATTTATTTTCGGTTAGGGGAGAAAGGAAAAAAATATGGTAGTACAAAATATACTTTGAGAAATAAGTACAGCTACATGTATAAATTATTCCAAAGCGTCGGTGATTTGCTATCTACTGAATGCTGAGGGTAGTGTGATCCTATACCCATTAAGAAATGGCAGACAATAATCAAACCAAACTTACTTAATGTAACCAAAGAAATCCGAGATCATTGGTTTAAGTTTGAATTGGTTAGGTCTTCCAGCATCATTAATTGTGAAGCTCCAATCTCCTTGATAGTTCCATGTTAACTAGGTGATGGTAGTTCATAGGAACTCTTATGCTTTGTTTCATTAAATTATCCTACCATAGCATTTTCTTTTCTTTCATATAAATATAAATTCTCTCAGCAATATTGTAGCAAATACAGTAATTGTATGAGTGACATACCATGGTTGCACTGATGAGGCATGCAGAACACCCACATACAGTATATCAGTTATCAAATCAAGTAGGATATGGCCTTTCTCTCTTTTATAAACACCAAAGAAACTATACTAAAATTAAACTACTGTATCTTACCTCAAATCATTTTGCAGTCAAGAAATATTTACTTATTGAAATTCAGCAAAAATACTTACAGCAAAGGAATATTGAGCTTCATGTGTGATGTACAGTAATTTACAAATAAAGTACTGTAGTTAAAAGAAAAATGACTAGGCATCATGCACAATGCTGGCCCTCTGTATAGTTGCCAATGATCTTATTTCTGAACATTTAGGTAATTAGCAAATATATTTATTTGAACCGATTATTATTTCAAGTAAAACAAAAAACTTAATTACTTTCCCAAGTGAAAACACTATAACTGAAAGTGGACAGTAGGGTTATTTAGAAATATTAAAAATAATAGTGTGGACCAGTTTTGTCCGGCTGACGGAGAGCCGCCTGACAAGTGAATGCAGTTTTCGAAGTGCATGCATTTGTACCCATTACATTTACAAAAACCTTATTAAATAGCCACACTTATGGTACAACAACTCTTAGGTAATACAGTACAGTATATAATATCACCATGCGACTTATCCTTCTGTATGCATTGAGGGACACTGAGTCTCCTCGACTTTCCTGAGTAAAAACTGTGAAGACTCTAAAATTAAATTTGTATTATTGAAGATACTATTTTAATATATATTTTGCTTTCTACTAAGCATGCAGTGTATGCCTTGCATTCATTAAGAATGTGCCCCTAAATTGTACACTATTCATAAAGACTCCATAAACAAATGTCTGAAAATGAAGCAACACTAGCATGTCTCCTTAACTTCCCTTATTAGGAATTGTAGCAAGCTTTGCTGTCCACTATTGTGCTGTATTATACACAGTGCATGTACTCTTTCAACACAAGAAATTGTAAATACAGTATATCAATTTTTTTCAACATCACCACTTCCCCTCCAGTGCTGGGTAAAGACTCAGAAAAGGTCTACCACAAAATCTACAGTACCAACAAGAATAGGTTTTTTCTATTGTATTTTGTGGTGTTTTAATTGAATCTGACATAACCTAACCAAACCTTAGCATAATATCAGGTCCTGGAGGATAAAATGATGGGTGCTACTATTGCTTGCGATCTACAAAATATTTAGGTTAGGTCAGGCAAGGTTAGGTTAGATTACGTTAGGTTAGATTAGAAGTTAGGTCAGAATAAAGATATCTTTGTAGACCGCATGCAATAGTAGAACTAAATGATGCTACTTGTAGGTACATTGTTCAATCAGTATTAAATGCAGAAGCCACAGTGAGATTTCTTTGTCTTGGCAAGTTTCCATTTTTTAGTACAAAACCAAAGGATCTTATCTTGACAATAGTGACAGTTTGAACCACACTTTACAGAAGTTGACAGAATACCATAAGCTTTAAAAATGTCGATAGCAGCAGCAGCTTCATTTTCAAAGACTATGAATGGTTTGCCAAGCTGGCGAAGAACATCTGTTGCACAGAGGATCTGTCTTGTGATTTGCCAAAAAATGTTCAATACTTGAGTATGCGCAGGAGTATCATGTGACACTGAGAGCAACGATGATTGGTGGCACAAAATAATGTGAGTAAGATGTGCAGTAAACACCTCCAAAAAATTATAATTTTGCAATGGAAATTTAATACCGGTAATATGGTTTATTTCATTTTTACTGTATCTCCCTATACAGTATGAATGTCAATATAAATTTCCATTGTAGACCTTTTCCAAATCTTAACCCTCTGAACAGCTTTAGAAAGTTTTTAAGAAATATTGTCATAAACACTTGAAGGCAGATTAATAATAGGGTACCCTATCTTTGTTTGTGTGTGATTTATGAAGTGGATTGGGTACATTATGCTGTACTGTACCCCTAGATTTTAGATCAAATTTTGACATACTGTACATTAAACTCTCACGGTAGTTACTTAATCACACAAGACTTCATTCACACTTCAACCAAACAATACAATGCAAATTAGTGTCATGATCACTGTGAGAGTTTCATTTTCACATTCAGGCCATGATGCTTACTGTAAAATGGGATCTCTTGAAGATTAGGAAACCCCCACTTATTTCACCTAACTATAGTATACAGTACAGTATAATGATTAAACACCCTTACATTAAATGGGGAGATCAGGTTAAATAAGATTTGGTTAGGTTAGTTCAGTATTAGGGTGTTTAATTGTTGGGTGAAATAAGCTGGGGCTCTTTAATCTTCATGAAATTTATTAGGTATTGGCCAAGATAAAAGTAAAATACCTGTGGTGTAGAACATGCTAAGGTGTGTTGGTAATAACTAATGAATATGTGATACAGTAATACTTTGTGCCTTGACAGTTTGTTACAATACAGTACCTTGTGCGTGAGTTTCTCTGTTGCACCTTCACTTTCAAGCTCACTGAAGGTGACAACCACCCTGTATTATCTGGGGGAAAAACTGGACCTCAGTAGAAACTGCTGAAATGTTCTGATTTTAAATACCTGTATTGATAATGTGATGATATTAACTTTCTGCCTTAACTGCTTATTACTATAAATTATTTACCATATATGTGTGTGTGTGTGCGCATGTGTGTTTGTTTCTTTCTTTCTCCCTTGCTGTGATGATCACCATTATAAGTTGCCAAAGATAATATTGAACATTAGCTGCGAGGACATTGATGAGTGTGTGTACGATATCAATCCTTTTAGGCATTGATCTGTTGTGATACCTTGTGTGAGAGTTAGTTTTTCTTGACTTTCACACTGACTTGGTGTGATGCTTGTGTATTGCCACCTGTAACCATGAAATATTGAGATCATGATATCCACCTGAATCTCACAGATAAATCCACTGTATTCCTTATAAAATTATTAATCTAAAAAAAATACCTTTAGAGGGCTTCAAAAATAAATTTTTCAAACAGATATCAAACTTAAAAAATACGAGCATGTGATTGTTAAGTTTGGGTCATTTGCTTTAGGAATATAAGGTTGGTTTGGCAATCATGTTGATGTGAATTCCTGAATTTGTCAATCTTGCATTTGTCATACTCACGATGATTTAAAATTTTTTGAGAGCTGAGTTTATTGTATTACTTCTTAATATCAGTTTAATGAAAGAATACATATTGTATATTAATGATCATTGCCACTTTGTATAATCATAGCAATTATAAACTAGGTGTATAACAACTGTACCTTGTTCTCCTAAATAATGACCATGAACTTAGCTGTTACATCTGTATCGTCTCAACCAACAAGACCACCCCACCCTCTCTTACCCCAGGACCCCTTCCCTGGATCATCATGAGCCCTCTCCCACTCATACCCTTGACCCAAGTGTGTTGTTAAAGTGGGTCCAGTAAGTAATATTGAGAGTGGGGAATTTGACCTAATACCTGTATTGCTATCAGGCATTATCAATCCTTGACTGATACACCTCAGTGTGTTTACATGAACTTGTAAAGCACATGTATTAGGCTCATAAAATTTCTAGCAACAGTATTAGGCTCATAAAGCTTGTATAGCTATAAGGCTCAAATATTATGTACAGTCAGTTCTCCTATAACACATTATGTTGTTGCATTCCTGAAAAACACGAGTTATAGAAAAATTGCATTGTGGTGACCATTGATTCACTGGGAATTAAGGGTTATGAGGTAGTAGGTTCGAGAACACCAACATTACTGAAATAGGATGCACTTTCACTTTCATATTATTGTTAGTTTTAAGTGTTCTTTTATAATAACTGTGATCTAGTTTGATAATATCATTCATTAATAGAATAAAAATGACAAGAGGGGAAAGCGACTTGTTACAGTGTGTTAGTGTAGCTGCTACGCGATAGAAAAATGGAGCCGTGAAGGAGGGTCCAGAACAAACATGATGAAATAATACGGGAGTGTGACTCTTTTAACAGTTTTAATGATATAACCTTTTTAAATAAAAATTTTATGACTACAAGAAATGTAAATAAACTTATAAGAATGTTTTAACACTCACGACAAGAGAAGATGGTTGTTTGAGACGAGTGGTGGAGGAGGAGGTGGAGTAAATCTGACAACGGAGGTGAGGGTTCATACAGCTTTATCACATCTAATTTTTGTTCAAGTTATAGCTTTTCTTTATTTTGCTACACTTCCACCACGACCAGAATGCTTCACACCCTTGCCCCACATTATAGTTAAAAGCAATAAAGTTGACACTGTACAGTAACTTGTGCCAGAGTTACAGCACATTCATCAATAACAGATGTTTGGATACTTATGGAAGATGAACAAAGACTTTGGGATGGCACAGCACGTTATGTGATGTTACACCAAGGTGACCGTGTAACTGCATACAGTATTTCTACTTGAGTGACATAATGTAGTTCTGTTTACTCAATTGCCTTATATCCAAATCGCATACGCCACATCTGCATTCTAGAAAATGTGTTCCCTAATACAGTACATTCAGCGTGTTATAACCCCCACTATGAAATTCTCGTTATAGGAGATTTTACTGTACAGTATTGGGCTCGTAAAGCTTATATAGTACTGTACTCTATGTATTGGGTTAGTAATAAAATCTACTCTTAGTTTTGTTATATTTTAGTCTCCCAAGATTGAGCAGAAGATTATAGTAGCTATAGGAGTTGGGGTATTTGTTTGTCTAATCACAAGTTTATGAAAACAGTGGATCACCTGAAGATTGGTTGCCTCACTTAGTTCATCTGATGATTAAATACCTTAATGCTACGGGGTTGTAGATTCGCATTAGGGTGTTAAATTATCAGGTGCCTAGTCTTCAGGTGATCCAACTTCAGTTTTACCGACTCAAAGAGTTCCACCTGATATTAGTGGAGTACTGTATGTACAGTCAGGGACAAAAGTTTGCTCCCTGTGGTGAAACTGAGTTACAGGAATGAGTCTCCAAACTGACTTGCTCTGACTGTTTCATCTCATTTAGGGTTGATGCTACTTCATTTTAGGCGGGGGCGAACATTTGACCCCGAGTGTATTGTACCACACAGATACAGTACAGCATTTGATTTGGTGTGTTGATCTGTGTCCCTGTTGACAAAAGTTTTGGAGTAAGCTGTACAGTACCAAGACTAAATAATTCTTAGGAATATTGTAGATATTGTTTAATATTTATTTAAAAAAATTTTCTTGCAGGCTGATCATGACATGATGGATCCTACAGTTGTTGAATTGGTTGAGCGATGGGACGCGCTTCACAAGGAGGGTCGTTTCTCGGCCCTCAACGTGAGAGAATATTGGCGTATCAAAGTCCCGGAAATATACTCTCCACAGGTAGGTTTTTAGTCGTGGTGGATCTCTAAATAAAGACATTTAATCAGTACTCTTTGATGAATAAACTTTAGATGCAGATGATTAGGATTTAAGTTATGAATATTCTGTAGTTTATCAAGACATATGCTGTAGTATATTTTAATTTATTTTATTTTTTACCTTGTACTATTTACATGACTGTGTGAAGGTCTGCCCACATGTTTTGGATTGTACAGTACACAATACAGGATGTGCTCTAGCTCACTCTTGGGTTTGTGAAGTAATATCCTGCTGTGTGGTAAATTCTGACTACTGTACATCACTAAGGTTGAAGTAGACACTTAGAACTGAGGTGCATACATTATTTTTAGTGTACTGTTCATAAGTTTTACCATTTTGATATTGTATGGTATTAAAAGTGATAGAAATATTCATATTTCTGCTTTAGAGCCAGTCTTAGGAAAGCTTGAACACTGATCTTCCTTGCAGCCAAACTGTACTGTAATTGTCTAAGAATATTTTAACATGAAAGCTTCCCTGCAAACTTACTGTTATTGCCTCTGGGTAACTTTGACTTGTAATCTTCCTTACAGCCAAACTGTAATTGTCTAAGGATAACATTCGATGAGGAATTGGCCCAAAAAATGCTGTTTGACCCTCTGGAGAGATTCATGTGTGGTGGTGACCCAGCCCAGGTGTACCAGGTGAATATTTTTTTCTGGAATTTAGGGTAATGTTTGCTGTATAACTGAATATAGAGCACATAATCATATCTGGTAAGTTGTTAAGTTACAATATATTCAGTCAAAAACTTTAATTTGTCACTCTTATCACCTAAGATTTTTAAATACTGTATTTCAGAATCATCATGCAGTTACTGTGCAATGAAACCTCCATATAACAGACTTCCCTCTCTGCATAATCTGCTAAATGGGAGGCGTCGCATCTAATGTACCCTTGATGTAATGGATTCTTGGCTCCATGTAATCGATTAGATGGGGTTGTCACATCAAACAGACCCTTGATATAATGGATTTTCCATCTATATACGTAGTCCATTAAATTGAGGTTTCACTGTACCTTACATGTATATGCATTATTGGAAATGAAAATATGACTTAAATAACAAAAGAGTTGAACAGACAAAAAGAAACAGCTTGATGGGATTAATTCTTGACAGTGTAACAATTGTTTTTATTCTTGTACAATACAGTATATATAAACATGAAAACCTGTCAACTTAACTTAATATGCACAGTGAATTGATAAGATGTGCCTTGAATCAGTGTGGAAGTTTCGGTTTTGCTCTATGTTGGATGCCAGTTGGGGATATGAGTCAAGTGTGTGTGTGTGTGTCAATAAGGGAATATCCGCTTGTTTTAATTTGTTTGCTATCTGTAGCTGTGTTGCATCACTCTTGGTTTCAGCCTTTACCTGATACTCTATTACATTATATATATCTCATATTAGTATTTCAAATGATTATACAACATACAGTGTAACCTCTATTTAATGGACTATGTGGATAGGAAAGTCTATTGCGTCAAGTGTCTGTTAGATGTAACACTCCCATCTATCTGATTATATGGAGATAAGATCCCGTTATATCTAGAGTACTTGAGAAGTGAAACCCTTCATTTAACGGATAACTGTATGTATATAGATGTTGAGAAGAAGCTTATGTGTAGCCACTCATTAACCAAGCTTATTCATGTTTTATGGGGTTCAAATTAAAAAAAAAATTAAATACCCTGTAATTCAGAAGTTTATGATTTTTTATGATGAAATTGAGATGTGACTTAAAAAAAATTGGTGACTGAAATTTAGGATCATTGTGGTAGAAGTTTAAATGGGAACAATTTGTTAGTCTCTGTCAGTTTGGTAACTTTCAATAAGTTTTATACCCACTGGGTTTTGACCTTTGGCTGTTGTTGAAAGTTAGGGGGTTAGCTACTTGGGTTTTGTCACTTTCTTCTGCTCTCAGCTTGATGTTCTGGATGTTCCTCTCAACCATGTCCCTACATTTTAATTTGTGTTTTACCTAGTGCCAAAGGGATTCACACCTAACCCATCCCATCATTGTTTTATATTGTACTGGGCATTTTGAGAAGCTTGATACAGTACAGGTATTGCACTAGTAGTTTTATAGATATGTCAAACAGTAAACAGTGATAGACATTATTGAATTATTTCCTGTATGAGTTTTATTTCATTTGTGAAGTTTATCTTTTCAGTGCACTTGTAGTTCTTGTAGATAGGCAATACTGATATGTGATGCAAGGTTATATAAGACGTAGGTAAATTAAATGGAAAAAATATGGTCTTTCTTGTAGAAGGGAAACAGCAGGTTCTGTTAGACTTAATTCTGTGGTTACCCTATGGCTTAGTGGGAAAAAATAATTGATCGAATATTTGTTCAGTGACTCATGCATTAGTTGTGGGAATCATGATTTTTCTTAAACTTGTGTTATATCCAACAGATGGTTAAACAGTTAGACAACCCCCCATCTCTATGTGGTCGAGTTTTTAAAAATGGTGATCCAACTTATGGTTGTCGAGACTGTGGCATGGATCCCACGTGTGTCTTGTGTGCTGATTGTTTCAAGAACTCTGCACACAGTAAACACAGGTGAGGACACAGTTTTTGGCAGTGGAATCTCTTAGGTACAGTATGCAGTGTCTAAATACATAAGTGACTGAACAGATTTTGTCAGATTTTCAGAATTGTTAATTAATAGATGACAATAATGATCTCTTGCTTTGTATTTATAGTATTGTTAATAAAAGCAATTTGTACATACAGTATTTGTAGGATTTATACTGTCCTGCACTGTATATGCTTGTGTGCGGAAGAAGAGAGAGAGAAGGGGTGATTTATAAGGAGTGATCTGTATACCTATGTAAATAATATTTCTGGAATGTGTCATCCAAAAGATACAGTTAATCAGGGAATAAATTGCAGTGGATAAAGAGAGGGGCCTGGAAGATCAATTAAAGAGGAAGGTCTGTTTGTACTTTCGTGATTATAGATGCATATTTTTCAACTACTGTTCAGTATAATAACGAGTTATTCATTTTTAGGTACAAGATCAGCACTTCATCTGGGGGTGGCTATTGTGACTGTGGTGACAGAGAGGCATGGAAAACTGATGTATTCTGTGATATTCATGTTAAGGGCCAAATGGTACAGCAATCACAAAACCCATTAGAAAAGATCCCAGCAGATTTGGTAAGCTTATTAATGTTATTTGAAACAACTATTTAAAGCAAGTCATATAAAAATAATTTTAATTGAAATCAAAATACTTAAGGCTTTGCTGCCGAAGGGAATTACCATAGCAGGGCACTGTACTGTAACAGAGAATGATTAACAGGTGGGACTGTGAAAAGAACCCTTGTTGTTAGCCACCCTGCATCAGTAGCACAATGGGGCTTGCAAGTGTAAAAAGTTTATTTCTTTTTCAAGCATTGTCTGGTATGTAATGGTCCAGAAAACTGTCAAGCTAAATGAAAATTTGTAAATATTTTGTATAGAAACTGCAGTAAGGTCACCTACAAGGCAAACTACAGTACAGAGTTTATATTCATGGTGTGAATTAAATGATTTAGATCCGAAGGTGATCGTAATTCGTGTGCTTAGAGTTTTTATCTTATTTTTCAGACTGAGAGGATCCACATAATATTTGATTGTATATTGCCATATGCAAAGGAACTACTTACATGTGAAGAAGGTTTTTCCATTCCTAAGGACCTAGAAATTCGTGAATCTGACCGGGAACCCACCAATTTATCTAGCCTTTATGATATCAAAGATACTTATGTCACTATGCTCTACAATGATGAGACACATACTTATGACCAGGTTAGTACAAGGTGTGAGTTTTAACCAAGAATGACTTGGGCAGAGGTTTTGAGGAATTTTCTGATTATAGTGGTTGTAAGTGACTATGCAGCCTAGAAAGCTGTCATTATGTAATCATAGCTTGTAACAAATTTGATAGATTAGCTTCATTTATCTATAAAAAATCAAACTGTAACAGACACCAGGATGGCAGTTCGGGCAGATTCCAGTAAAGTAATGAATTTTCAGGTAGTGCCCAGTTACAATGAATTTTCAGGTTGTCCAGTTACAATGAATTTTCAGATATACAGTACTTTGGTACTATAATTAATATTCTCCAGTAGTAACTCGTGTTATAAATTTGGAAGCAGAAAGATTACCTTCAGTGTTAAGAAGGAGACACTCATTTTCAGGTCATCACCACGCTAGAGCGAGCCATTGATTGTACACAGAAGGATGCTGTGGCATTTGCAACAAGCATAGACAGGGAAGGTCGGTGCATTGTGAAGTGTTCTTCCTTCCAACAGTGTTCACAGACAAGAAACCTCATGGAGAAACAAACAACCAGGGGCGGAGGGCGACCACTTAAAGTTCAGGTGAGGAATAGCCTAATGCCGTACACTGAGACACTTGTATACCACAACTTGTAAGTTGGAAAATATTCTCTTGGGGTCTGTAGTATACAGAACAATTGTTTTTTCCCACTTATTTTATATAACTTGGGGTGACAAGTATTCCGTAATAAGATAGTAATACAGTAAAGCCTCCGATAACAACGGTTCGACCAACAACTTTTCATATTTAAAACCCTAGTTAATTTAGGACCCAATTCAATTTACGTCCTTATTTCATTCGTATTTACGACCAAAATATAATAAAAATAAAATAAAATTACATTTTCATATACGTAATAACTAAATCCCGATATGTATTATATAAAAAAAATAAATTACTGAAAAAAAAAATGAAGAGTGCCTTGTGCAAAGAAGCTGCATGGCTAATGAGTGGTAAACAACAGTCGGAGCTTGGCGAGCCTTTTGTTTTCACGCATCTGGAACAGGAACAGGGGAAAAACTTTCTCAGGTTTCTTACAGCATTTTTGCATCCCTATTCAACATAAGCAAGTGATGGTAGTGTTGGTTCAAAAGCTAATAGAAAGTGTATAAGCTTAGCCGAGAAACTAGATGTGTTAAAACGACATGAAAAAGGTGAGAGGTCTGTGGGTATTCTATGGAGCAGGCAATGAACATATTTTCTGAAATGGATCCATTAACAGAACAAAGCATTAAAATTTAAATAAACGCAAATGACCTCTACATAAAGATGTATAATGAGAAAAGAAAGCAGCTGTGCAAGGTTCTTTCGACAGCTTTATTATTCGAAGGCCTAAACCATCAAATTCAGCATCATAAGCAGCTTCAACATCAACTTCAGGTTCAGTAACAGTTTCAGCAACAGCTTTATGGAAAGCTACAGCTTCAGCCAGAGTAAAAACTTGCACAATATTCATTGGCTGACCTTGTGTTTTTGACTTTACCACCATTGGTGAGTAGAATTTTTGTTTTACATTCGTAAATATTATTTAAAACATACATGAACAGTAAATAAGCGTTGCTTTCATATTCAAATGTAGAGAAATGACGATATGTTTTCACATGTATGCACTTACTGTTCATACGTTGGAGTTCCCAATCATCTCGCCTTATTTCTTTATCATTAGTGGTTAGCTACTTCAAGTGTTCCATTTATTAACATTAAATAACATTACTTAAAACATACATACAGGTATTCGATTTTTTAAAATTAAGTTCACTAACAGCTACAACCAGGGTCTTATTTACTTCAGTTTATGTAGAACCATCGTTGCTCACAAAAACAGTGCCGTCTTGTCTCTTGTGTGTTTTAATATTCTACGTATTACTAATGAATTGCATTGTTCATTTCACATATATAAACATTAATTCAATCAAATACATACTCAGTAATATACAATAATGAATCTTTTGTACATATTCTTAAGATAAATGACTGTTTCCTTGAGTGAGCACGTACTGAATACATTGGCGTTCCACTATCAGTCTCACTTTTTCTTTAATATCAGTGGTTACTTCTACTGTACATTAAATAACATTAATTAAAACATACATATTTTTTACATTAATTTTACTACAACAACAACCAGGGTCTTATTTTCTTCAGTTTCAGGTGGATAACTGACATTATGGGTGTAAACTCTGACAACAATCTTTTGTACATACAAGATATTCTTAAAAATATAAATGACGCGGTACCCTTAAATGCGCACGTACCGTATATACTCGTCTATAATTCTACTTCGTTTATAGGTTGATCCTGATTTTTTGACCAAGAAATCGTTAATTTATGATATGCCTCATTTATAGGTCGACCCAAGTTTTTGAGGGTAATGGAACAGCAAAACCTTCACTAAACACACTCTACGTCCTATAAACTGAGGGTCGCCGTGCCTGAAACACCGAGTGCCGAAGGCAAATTGTTTACCATTATTACAACACTTTACACTAAAATGCAGGTAGTTTCAGCAAAAATATTGTATCTTTCCATTTAAGTATTTATTCAAGTCAATTAGGAGGGAATATTATTGTAATACAACAGTTTTTTTAACTGAAAACCATTCGAAAAGCGATTACGGTAACATCTTTTGAGCAACGAAAGAAAGGGAGTTGATTGTTTTCGTCAGGGTTTTATCCCACTTTCCACTGTAATATGTACGTCATTTTAGCAAAAATATAACATTTCCGTGAATGTATTATATCCAGCACAGTATGAATAGAATATCATTGTAATATAACAGTATTTTTACCGAAAACTATTAAAAAACGAGTAACATCTCTTGAACATCGGAAGGTTAGGTAAAGTCTTTTGTTTTCATCATGTATTTTATCCTATTTTACATCACGTTTCAGCAAAACTACTATTTATTTCCGAGAATGTATTCATTCAGGCACAGTTAGGGTAAAATATACTTGTGATGTAACAGTTTTTTTAACTGAAAAAGATTCGAAAAACACGTGTACCGTCTAGCTGATACTCAACAGCTGGTGGTGCGTCGTGCATCGTTGTAAACAATATAAGGTTGAGGTGGATTACCGGGTATTCTTATTAAGTGTGAAATATCGAAAAGGTTTTTATTACCGGTATTTTTTGTAGATCAATGGGTACTGTGATACCGTATATGATATGTTAAGTTAGCCTGTGCTAAGAACTTCAACATAGACTGCTGAAAGCACGTAAGGTAATTTAGCCTATTGTAAGTTGGTGAGCTTCATCTGCTGAAGGCACTACACAGCTTTTCATTACTAATTGGTACATATTTTATGTTTCCATTGTTTACTGGCAGTAAATGGTAAATATTTTTCATGTCTAAAGCTAAAAGATGCTCCTCGCCCTTTCCATCATGCACGGATTCAACCTAGCAAAACTATTACCCATGTAGAGGTCGACCCCCAATTTTTTGCCTAAAAATTTGGTCTTAAAAACTCGAACTACACACGGGTATATACGGTATGTATTTGTTGGCGTTCCCAATCCATCTCTTTATTTTTTCTTTGCCATTAGTGGTTAGCTACTTCTATTGTTCCATCTTTTAACATTAAATAATGTTACTTAAAACATATATATTATTTTTTTTTACACTAGTTTTACTACAGCTACAACCAGGGTCTTATTTTCTTAATTTTCTCGTCCCGGACTCCCAGCTGTAAACACAAATGAAAACAACAGCGTCCCATCTCCTCTTGTGTGACTATATTATTATTCATTTATATTGTATAAGGTGCATTAAGAAATATTATTTTAAGAATATAGTTTGCAATTTTCATTAATTGTATTGTTTTGGGGGGGAAAAGAGGGTAAAAAGCCACACAAAAGATATGAAAAGGTCACACTTGGGAATGCATCTCATTATTATTGCTTTGTATTTTCATGGTAATTAATGATTCGCGATAAGACGATTCACCTTACACCGCAATATTGGAGGACACATTAATGTCGTTATTCAAGGCTTTACTGTATACAGTTCAGATTAGTAACAACTTCAATAAGTGTTAGTTTTAATCTATAAACGGTTTATTTAACTGTGGAAAACTGTAGAGGAGATGGACGATTAAGGTGGAAGCAATAAACAGGGAGGGTGATTAAAATCCCTCAAGTGTAAGAATGACTGGTAAGTGCAGTGTCCAGTGATATATTTGGATGGATGTATAGCTTATGGGTAACATTGGGTTGTATGAGGCAACAGTGATGCATCCAGATGAAAATAATAGTATACCAAGTTGTGGAAGTGGAACACCATAGCAAAACACATGTTACAACAGATAGAGAGAATGAATGACTACAAATAATGGGCGAGTCTGTCTTAATCTTCATTTTGGCCAACTTGCACAACAGTAGGAAGAGGCTTATATTTATGATTAAGAATATATGTGATACTTTTGTTTCAGGTGATGCAGACATACATTATAGCCCACCAGATGTTTGCATCCAGGCTGCTAACATGGCTTCACAACATTCTTGAGATGGCTCAAGCCTTCAGACTTATCTTCAGTGACATTGTGAACAGGGTAAGACAGAACCTGGTTATGTAGAGATATCATTGTGAGTAATATGAAAAGCATTTTGTGTGCAGCCAAGACCATTGTGAAAAAAGGAATCAAGATCTTACTTTATAATAAATTTCTCTTGAGTTACGAACACCTCACTCACGAACGGGACCTTATTATAGTATATATTCATAGCAAAATTTTTTAATTAGAATATTATTTTTTTTTTGACATTTCTTTCATTATTCTATATTGTTTAACATCATATTGATGTACTTTTATGGGAAGCCTATCAAGTGAATTTTAACCCCTCAAAAATACTATGCATACAATTTGTTCCCATACTTTTTACATAAAAATTTGATCATAAAAACCTAAACCGTACGCGAGAACTGTATATGGTATACTGTACACATCCACATCATACACTTTATCTCACACTGCACAAGGACATCCATGCTACATACACATGTGTCGGACTCGGGAACCGTAAAAAATCTTCTCTGTGGCTCTGAAAACCTCTAGTATCTAGAACCTTACTTACATCTATTAACACTTAAAAAAAATCTGAATTGGTGAAAGACTATCATAAGTATGATAATTTTACTTGAACTAATTTATTATGAGCTTAAATAAGCTAATCTATGAGAGTGTAATATCCTGGCTGTTTTGGACAGCCGTGCCTCTTTGCTGATTTGGATATTTGAATAGTGAATTCTGTCTGATTAATGAAATTGCTGTGGCTTAATTAGTCCAGTACTCGGGTTTTTGCTTTATATTCCTTTTGCCAGGTGTGTGTGTTTGTGTGTGTGTGTGGTAGGTTATGCCTTTATAAAGTCCCTCTGTGTTGTCAGGATGGTGGTAGCATCGTGGAGAACATCATCTGGACAGACACCAAGATGTGGAAGACAGCTCGTATACAGTGGCACCGCCTCTTTATTTCTGGGATGCTCATGGATCAGGAAAGCAAGAAAATGTTTGCCAGGGTGAGTTACAAGTGTAGGCATTTTTTACTTCTCCAATGTAAATAAAGACTTCTATTTTGAGTGTCACCAAACAAATTGACTTTTTTACAAATGGGATATTTCAGACTGTTCCTTGAATAAATTCTTTATATATCTGATAACAAGGTAATAATTAACTTGATCTTTGGTGTCTCTAAGTATATGTTCATTCATTTATCATTCGGTCACTAGTTTTTCTTTTATTGAATGATCCTGCTTACCAACAACCCTCATAGATATACAGTGGGGATATTGTGTTATTCATGACCATCCATACAAAGTACAGTATCACCATTTTGGTTCCTTTTCAGTAGCCAAAGAATAGGTGTGACAGATCATTGGCCTTTCGGTTGAGTTTGAAAATCAGTGTTATGCTATTGTAGTTTCATTGCTATATTTTGCTCGTGTACATGACCTACATTTTTCCCCCTTATGTGAACCTATACTTAATTTTAGGAGCAAAAGAGTATTGATACAGTACATTTAGGGCTGTATTTTGGAAGGGGGATCACCATAGCATCACACAGAGGTCTTGATCATGATGATAGTGATTAGAATTGCATGAGTGATGGTGAATGAGGAGAGAGCATTTGTATTCGCTCGTGATTCTGCCTTATAGTGGAGGACAACTTAAATGATTGAAAAAAGGGGGGGGGGCTAAAAATAAAAGAAGGCATTTGATCCAGTTTAATCCAATTCCAAATTATAACACTCTGGCCATATCATCATAGTGAGATCATTGTACTCAAGAAATGGATCAAGTAGTATGAACCACTAGTGGATCAGCTGGTGTAAGTCACTCGTGGATCAGCTGGTGTGAGTCACTAGTGGATCAGCTGGTGTGAGTCACTCGTGGATCAGCTGGTGTGAGTCACTTGTGCGGGGGTTCGCAAACCTGGGGTCGCGACCCCAAATGGGGTCGGAAGGCTCATTAGGTAGGGTCGCAAAGAGGTCATGGGGTTGGTGGGGTCGCTGGGGTCTGCCAGTGAAATGATTTGGGGTCGCACTGGATAGTTGACAACACTGGATGGGGTCGTGCTAGAAAAAGCTTGGTGTGAGTCACTCGTGTATCAGCTGGTGTGAATCACTTGTGGATTGTTTTGTAGATATACACACAGTAAAAACATATTTATGCACACTGTGAAACAAATGACACCACGGACGATGGCTACCAATGTGGGACAGGACCAACAGGCATATCTCAGTATCCATTATCCGTAGTGTCATTTGTTTCACACAGTGTGGCTAGATATGTTTTTACTGTGTGTGCTGGGTTTACAATTGGGCTGATGGTTACGAATTTGATTAACTATTCTACTGATCTCGGTTAATACACCAACTCAACAGTATGAGAGTTGTTGTGCCTCTATATTTTTTTTGTTTTGTATTACAGTACATGTATACTACATAGTACTGTACTTTTTTTTAATATTGACTCATCCTAGTGAATTTGCTTCATCTTTTGGCATTTTCTGATAATTAATTTAATTTTAGTGTGTTCAGATTTTGTAGGAAATATGAAATTTATTTTATATTAAAAATGGTAGTTGCTCAGATTTTTTTTCTTCTTTCTTTAGACTTTTACCAAACACTACAGCAAGATGATGAAAGATTTCATCCTGGACGATCACGACCATGCAGTGTCCGTTGCCTCGTTGGGTGTGCAGCTGTTTACTATGCCTACCATTGCTCATATGCTAGTGTCAGAGGAGGACGTGCTGGCGCGACTCCTCAACACCTTTTTGTCAGAGTGTGACATGAAACTTAAAGATAGTGAGTGTTATTTTCTGCTTTCGTGACAGATCAGAAAAATATATATGAACCATTGTGACAATATAGTATGCAAGTCTAAATAAATCTATTTATGGAAGCTGCAAGACAAAAAGAAACAAATATTTTGTACAAATACTGAAATAGTTAACAAGTCTTACAGAATTACTCGGCTTGTGTTTAGAATACAGTACTGTATATTAGTTGCATTAATCTTATTTATACATTTATATGCTCTGTTTATCAAGGATTCTATCTATGGTAGTGATACTTAGTACAGTATATCCTAAAATGCCATGCCATATATTTTTGGTAAAAAATAATAGCTCTTTCCACAGTCAAACTATCTTCTGCGCAATGTGGCGCAGTTCAGCCGGGCAGTTTCTTAGCGGACATGGAGATGTGTGTGTGTGCGCACGTGCGTGCATGTGCGTGTGTGTGTGTGCGTGTGTGTGTGTGTGCGTGCGTGCGTGTCATCACATCACATCACATCAGAGGAGGGAGCACAGCTGGGCTCGTGACGCAGTTACAGCCCAGCACCTCCACATGTACATTCACTTCCCACACATGCAAACCCAAGCTCTTCATTGTTCTTATCTTATAATTTTATTTTATATTTTCTTTGTTTCTAAGCCACAATTGTGTATTTTAATGATTTTTCCTCAGCTTTCCTAGTTTCATTTCATTTAACAATGGCAACATGTCATCTCACAGGCCACCTCACCCCCAGTTTGTCCCCTTCTCAGCTAGTCAATATATTGCTAAACTGAATTTTTACTTAAAATTGGGGAGAAAGGTGTCAAAAATTTTTATTGCTAAAAACAAATTAACATTAAGTGAATTAAAGCTAAACGAGGTATACCTCTTACCGTCGGTCAAAAGTTGTCACCTCTTCTGCTGCTCGGTGAATCCTGAGATTCAGACTTGTGAACCCAAAGCTGTAGATATTGATGCATTATTCTGTTCATAAATGCTTTGGATTCATGAATCAAAATCTCGGGGTTCATGGAGCAGCAGAAGAGACGACATGACTTTTATCAGTGACTGTACATTGATTTTGTAATAAGCAACTAAAGATGCTCTTAGATGCAAACCCTTTGAGAATTTCTATACAGTACATTCAGACAGATAGACAAATTTATTTGGCTTAGAGTTTTAGAAAGTATGGAGCACAGCTCCCTGTCAGAACAATCACATTTCTAAATTAGGATTTACATTTAATACATTTACATAATAAATTTTTTTTTAATTATTTAAATGATTCCTTATACCTGTATACATTGATATGAACTACAGTATTGTATCTCATTATCTACCTAAACATGACTATTGTAAATTTCACAAGCACAGCTAGGTTTCGGATGGTTCTTACATTAGTATGTTGCATTAATTTAGCAAATTTCAAATGACTTGGATGACTTATATAAAGTCTTGTTATGTACTCTTTTATAAGCTTTAAGCTTTATTGGGTATTCATTTGTGTTTTATCTTCATTACAGACAAGTTAGCCTTGGAACACCGCAGCTCCAACACATCAGCTTTCCGTCGCATCCAGTATATTCTGTATGACCTCAAGTACTTGTTAGGAGTAAAACCAGAAGTTTGGACAGATGGCCTCCGTCGAGGGTTCCTCCATGGGTACACCCTCCTATTGCGTCTCCTTGGTATGATGCAGGTATGTAATGTGATCGTCTTGTGTGTAATTCACAGTGCTTTAATATTATTTTTGTATGTTCTAGCTTAAGGATGTATTGAATAGTGTTACTTAAATTCTCAATTGCACTCATAACTAATGAAATTATTATCCTTTCCACTTGGAAGGGCATGGATCCTATGGTACGACAGGTGGGTACACACATGGAGTATGAACCAGAGTGGGAGTCGGCCTTCAACCTTCACATCAAATTAGCTGCTGTTATCCCCCTTGTAATTGAGTGGGCAGCATCAGACCGCATTGTGCTCATCAAAGCATATCGGTAAGGTGCTTTCACTTTTGATTCAATCAACAACTTTCCATTTTTCCCTCATTTCCTAATTCTTTTTCTCTTCTTTATTAATAAGAACTACCTTTCTCTCATTATGTCTTATCACTTGGGACAGAATACTTTTTTCCTTTCTGTCTGTAGTTTTCTCTCTTCCCACTCTTGTATGAAGTTGATCAAGGGTTACAGAAACTTGAAGAAAGGGTGCAGGACAATTTTAGAAAGTGTTAGGAAAGTTTTAAGACAATAAGTAGAATTACACCATATAGATTTTGCTCATATTCTCAACTTGTACACTTAGTAATAAAATGAATATAACATCCAATCCAGCAGGGAAGTATTGGGAACTTAATTCAGGTGCTTTATATTCAGTGGGTGTTACCTTACCATGGTCTAGGCCTCTAGGGCCATGAAGCACCTGTAGCCCAATTTCTGGATCTGTAATTAAACATCTACTTTCATTCATAACTTTCCATAGCATTTAATTTTGTTCACTGAGTGGAGTTATGAGACCCATATATATATATATATATATATGTTTTGTGTATCAAACCAAAGTTGCAACTGCTTTTCATTGGCAGCTGTGTGTGTTTATATATATATATATAGTTTACATTTATTTATATTTTTAAGGTTGTTGAGTTTTCCTGTGGGAGATAAAGTTCTGAATTTAAAAAGCAAGGTCTAAGTGTCATCAATGTACTTTCAGGGCATTAATGAAGGACCTCGGAAACTTGTGTACAGAGGCAACACGGAGAAGGTATGTGAGAGAGCTGCTGGATTATTCAGTATCGTGCATAGAGTATGACGTCTCCTCGGCTCCAGTATCAATCCATCTCCCACTCTCTCGTCTAGTGGCTGGATTGACACTTCATCTAGATAAATATGGCCTTAACTACAACTCTCCTGAATTCTTAGTAAAGGGAAAGCCATCTCCAGAGGAGTTGATGGAACCTGTGCTCAGAACACAAGTTATGATTGCTCAGGTAATGTGGATACAGTATATGTTGTTTATTTTAGAGGGTAAACAGATAAACAGGAGTTGTCCTATTACAGTGACTCTTTAAGTGTCATATCCAAACTCCAAAGTTGTCATTCAAACATCAGCTACACAGAGTGCTTATAGTTTTGTTTCAGCTTTCACTTGTATATTTGTTGTATGTTACCAGTGCAGTCTTGCATGATGCGTGTAATAGTAAATTATTTTACTAACCTTGACACTCCTGAACTTGGATATTATGTTCAGCTCACTTTAACTGGGTGTTGTTTTCCCATGCTCACTGGTGATCATTTAGTCTGACTTTTCACTCAGGCCAATCTCAGAGGGTGTTGAGTTTGTTTACTTTAGTGATCATTCAGTCTGATCTAACAAGATGTTCTTTTGTCATGTAGAGTGGTAGTCAATAAGTATGATCTTACAAGGTCAAGGTGATGAGTGTCATTTGTGGGAATGTAACATTTGCTTGAGAATCCAACATTGTTATCGATTTAAAACTTTCATACTAGTTTTACTGATGTCCAAATGCATTAATAGTATTGTGATTCCTGCATGAACCCTTCTCAACCACCTTTTCTCATTTTAAGAAAAAATATAAATTCCTCGATTCATATTAGATTGACATCTTTTTAGTTTGCTCATGTTCCACCCTTGGACTTTATGTTAAGCTTCTTTGTTACTCATAAAAGTTGTAAAATAGTTTTTTCTTTTGGATTTCATATAAGTTTCACAACTTATTGCTGATATTTCTTTATATAAAATATTTATCCAGTACAGTATATCTTAAATTTGCACTTACTGATGCTTATGGATGTGGTATTAAAACTATGAAATTAATATAAAGATAGTACCTGTACTGTACTTACTAAATATTTAATCTCTGACAGGTCCATGCTGGGATGTGGAGACGTAATGGCTTCTCCCTTATCAACCAGATCTATTTTTATCATAATGTGCGGTGCAGGCAAGAGATGCTAGACCGTGACGTGATGCTCCTTCAGATAGCTGCTACTCTTATAGACTCCAATGAGTTCCTGGTACACCTCATGAACAGGTTCAGCTTGATGAGCTGGGCACGAGAAGACTATGAGATCAACTATTTAAGAGTAAGTCATAAACTGTTTTTCTGCTTGTTTTAGGCCTAGAATCTCTGTGGCCATAGCATTTACTAGCCCCTGGTTATCCTTGATGCCTTTAGGGAAAAAAAATCTCCTGTGGCCACTATGCTGTCTTTCTTTTCTGTTTTAACCATCATATCCTTCCATGAGTTTCTAGGCCAGTGATTTTAGCAGTACAGGTGTAACTTTTACAGAGATATGTGCTTTTAACATACAGGTTTAGTAATATAATTCACTGATGCAATCCCTTTCCCAACATGATGCAGTGTGGCCCAGATCAAGAGCAATGTAGACTCTTCATTTGCTGTCATTCATTTTATATAGCTGCCCAGCCCAATTTGTACTTCTGTGGTGCCCCCCAGCCTTAATTTTTTGTTTCTTGCTTTTTATAATACCTAGGCATCATGTGCCATCAACTACTCATTTTATATTTAAATTACTTTGAATTTGAGGAATCCTGATAATCTTAATGAGCAGTAAGAAGGTCTAAATCAGGGGCGTGCAAACTTTTTGGATAGAGGGCCACAGTAAAACCATCTGAGGCATGATCGGCCATACACTCATTATATTGCTTTTAAAATTCAAAGTTAATAATAAATTTAAAGACAAAATGCATACTTACTGTTTATTGACTGTGAAATGAGTTGTTAATGGGATGGGTGACTTTGTACTTGCTGCACGAAGTCTGCAATGTCTGGCTGGATGGATGACAGCAACACGAAGGGTGTTTAGTAGTTGCACATCAGTAATAGAGAACCTTAATTTGTTCCTTGTTATATTAATTTTTGAGAAATGCTGTTTATATAAGGATGCACTTCCAAACACTGACAAAATTTTTTGTGCGTGAGCAGAAAGTTGTGGATAATCTGCCCCCTTGTGTGTTGGGGTCGCTTAAAGTGTTCACGGTAATTTCAGAGGGCTGCATGTGGCTGTAGGGCCGCAGTTTGCACAGCCCTGGTCTTAATCAATTCTGTATGAAGCCTACATAGAGGAGTACTGTACTTGTTCCAGCTGTTCACTGTGCTTGTAAAGCAATAAGCATCTAAAGACTTAATTAAGCAAGTGCATAATGTGGTAGTAGAAATGGAAATTTTGTTTGCAGTGTTATAGTAAGTAAGAGAGTTGGTAGGGTTTAGGCATACTGTGAGGATGTGAGAAAGCTACCAAGAGTGAAAGACCTTACTGGGGTACAGGTTGTTAATGTATAAATTTTGTAAATTGTTGGGTGTACAATGAATGATTGCTGGTGTTTAATCGTGCAGTGTATAATGAGTTGGTGAATGTTCAAAAGAAGTGTAACTAAGGGTAGGATGGGGGAAGAGATAAACCACTTAAGATAAGGATCCAGTTAATTAATTCGTTAATGGGGCCATTTGTTGAAGTAAAAGGAACAGCCATATGGTCCTCTGGTTCACTGAGGTCACTGCTAAAATTGTGAAAATGATGGATAGCTACTATAATGATGATAAACTGCTCCATAGCTCAGGGTTCTAGGATTCACCTTGCCTGTCCGGGATTTGTTTCCCAGTTGAAGTGGCGTATTGGGTTTTCTGTGTACATCGACTTTAACACACTTGGCAATAAAAGGAGTACATTGTCAGGAATGCTTGCAGATGGTGGCACAACTTTTTGATCAGCTAAAATCCTGATAAAGGTGGGAGGTAACCCAGTATTTAATGAATGCTAAGACACAGGATTTGCATCTCTTGAGCCAACTGTACTGTAACAAGAATATATATTTTTGTTAAATTGAAAGAAAAAAATATTCGGTTTAGAAATACAGCTGCTCCCTGACTTACGGCGGGGTTAGGGACCCAAATCCAGGTCGTAAGTCGAAAATGCTTAAATAATACATAGAAAATCTAAAATGGGTGTCTCTTTTTCTTCTCATCACCACAAAACTCTCACTTTTAAGCTTGCCAGCCATTTTGAAGTGAATTACAAACGAAAATTTTGTCCGTACACAGCGCAATCACTGAAATTGGGACTCGAAAATAGGTAATTTGACAAAATTTTGGTACCACTGAGGCGGTCGTATGTCCGGGTGGTCGTATGTCGGGGAGTAGCTGTCCAATGAATGGAGACGATTCAAGGGCACTTGATGAGCACAGGAAAGAATGGTGAAGCAATGGAGTGTAATGGTGTGGAGAGATAGAAGCATTTGTTTCACCTGGAGTAATTCTTTTTTCTTATGTAGGCTGAACACTTTAATGAGTCACTTCATATACAGTACAGTATACTGTATATTGGCTTGTCCACCAGTACAACACTGAAGTTTATTCAGACAGAAGGAATTCTTGTGGTGACAGGCCAAAAGGGGATGTCGTTAGGTAACACTGTGATTGGTAATTTTATTTTACAGTGCATCACTCGCCGATCACTGTAATCATTTGTTAAAACTCTTCACTGATAACTAACTGCATAGCTGCCTTGATAGTGAATCAACATATGACCCTGAGCTGTGACAGCCATGAGTGGTACTGAGTTGTAGCTGACAGGAAACAAGAATATAGATCTAGATAATGACTTGTTTTCTTGACATATAAGACACAGATCTACATACTTGTTCATGAAAAGCTTAATGCAGATATTTTACCCCTAATCATTAGACTTGTGCATAATTTTTTGCTCCAAGTCCCCTCTCATTATTATGCATCATACAGTCTCTCCATAAACTGCTGTAATATATATACCCATAAGCCACTTGAAGCCATAGTGTAGTGTTATCCATATGCTGTACACATCTACGTCTTGAATGGAAAGAAGTTATAGTGATACAAGTACAGTCATGCGTCGCTTTACGTCCGTCCGAACAACGTCCGATCGCATATATGTCTGTGGCCCATAAAAATAATAAGAAAATAATGGGGATAAAAAAAACCCGTTCAGACAACGGGACGTAGTGGACGTAAGTGGCCTTAGAGTGGGCGCCCTCACGCATGCATCAAGTGTTCTTAAACAAAATAGATTGTGCTGCCAGGCGTATGATGATACAGTACAGTAACTATATATCCATAATATGTTTTGATGGATATAAGAAATGCCTATGTTACTGGTTTATGTTTTTTGGCTATTGTAGTGTACAGTACAGTACTTTTAATTTGATTTCCTTACTTACAAAATAAAAAGTTTACAAACTGTATAACAGTGTACTGTATGCTTGGTTTTGCCTCGTCGGCAATGTAGGCATTATGTTATTTTATTAGCCTTTTTAACCTCTGTGTTTCATTAGTTGTGTACGTTATCTAGTGAATTTAGTCAATATTGTACAGTACAAGTACACTGCAATATTCCACATACACGTAAGTATAAATACAAAGTTCACAATGGGATGTTCGGACAACATCCAAGTCGGTTAACTTCACGTTCCCAAGAACGTATTTAGGACGTTAAGCGGCGCATGACTGTATACAGTAATACACAAACAATCAAATTGTTTTATCTCTCACCTAACATTGACTCTCTTCTGTGCAGGGTAATGATGAAGACAACATGAGACAAACAGTAATACTGGTGGAAGAGTACCTGCAATTGGTGATGACACTGGTGGCCGAGCGCTACACGCCAGGCATCGGGCAGGTTGAAGAAGAGGACAGAATTAAGAAAGAGATCGTCCAGCTCCTTTGTATTGAACCCATGCCACACTCGGTGCTCAACAAGGCCCTCCCTGAAGGAACCAACCATGAGACAGGCATGGAGAAGGTAAGTACCTCGTAGTGCTACGGTCAGTTCTCTTATAACACAGTACAGTACTGTAGTTGCATTCCTGAAAAACGCTGCATTATAGAAAAATTGCATTGTAGTAACCAATGATTTACTGGGAATTAAGGGTTATGTGATAGTAGGTTCGAGAACACCATGACATGGGACCCACATTCAATTTCATATTATTGTTAGTTTTAAGTGTTTTTATAATAACTGTCTTTTAGTTTGATAATATCATTCAATAAGAGAATAAAAATATGACGAGGGGAATTTTTTATATAGGATAGTGTGTTAATGTAAGTTGCTACGCAATACAAAACGGAGCCGTGAAGGAGGGTCCAGAAACGAAAATTATGAAATACATAATACGTCGTGGAGTATAGCACTCATAGGAGCTTTTAATGCTAAAACCTTTATAAATCAAAATATTTTAACCATAAGAAATGTAAATAAACTTATAAGAATGTTTTAACACTCACGACAAGAGAAGATGGTTGTTTGAGACGAGTGGTGGAGGTGGAGTAAATCTGACAACGGAGGTGAGGGTTCATACAGCTTTATCACATCTAATTTTTGTTCAAGTTATAGCTTTTCTTTATTTTGCTACACCTCCACCACGACCAGAATGCTTCACACCCTTGCCCCACATTATAGTTAAAAGCAATAAAGTTGACACTGTACAGTTCTTGTACTAAGTTAAAGCACAGTCCACAATAACAGATGTCTGATAGTTATGGAAGATGAGCAAAGACTGCGGGGGTGGCGCATCCCACCTTGTGTGATGTTATGCTGAGGTGACTGAATAACTGCTTATTCCTACTCGAGTGACATACTTTTGTTTACTCAGTTGCGTTATATCCAAATCGCATCTGCATTATAATAGATGTGTTTCCTACTATACATTCTTCACATTATAACCCAATCCTGCTCTGAAAACACGTGTTATAGGAGAACTTGCTGCACTTCTCAAACAACAGGGATTATTATACTCTTGCAATTGTGGGTTTTTCTTTTTTTTTTATCTAGTTCCTTTCATGTTTTTGAAGAATGTTTTCCCTAGAGATATAGATGAAGTTCACTTTTCATGGTTATAACTCTTATGGTTCCAGGATGGTAGGCATATCATGGTCTTGTAGGTGGAGCAGTTTCATTTACATATAATAGAACTATAATATGACTGTTGAATGTTTGCCCTGGACTTAATTTTTTTTCCATTTCTTAAGCAAAGAAATAGATATGACAAAAATAATTTATTGCAACTGAATCTTATGTTAGTGACACTAAAGTTAGTTAGTTAGGTTAGGTTTTTTTGTTTTAAGGGTTTTAACTGGAAAGGTTTCTTTTACTGCTTTATTTTCAGGTTTTGATTCATGTAATTTTGGTTCACATAACTGAGGTTGAAGAAGGTAAGGTTAAGGGTACAGTATAATGACCATAGGACAGATTTGGTTACAACTAAAAATGTTTTACCCCACGAACAATTTTCTACTTAAAAAAAATGTGAACTGTCTGTGCACGAGACAAGAAAGATTACTGTTTTATATAATTGTTGATGTGTAACAAGAATATTCTCTATCACTTTTATGGTATCACAAATACTTAATCAAATCTCTCGTACAGGTTATTGACGAAGTTGCAGATTTCAAGAAATCATCTGGTGCTACAAAAGGTTATTTTGAACTTAAGAAGTCTTACTACTCTCACTACAACCTGTTCTTCTATCACTACACAAGGGAGGAACAGAGCAAGTCAGAGGTAGGCAAATACAACATACCATATTGTTCCCGGTCACCCTGCTAAAAGAGAACACAGAAATAACAGGCATTTTCCTTTGTGTGTTGCCAAATGCACACACAACTTTTTTAGCACAATTTAACTAAAGTAAATAGCTGTATATTTTACCCAACTTTGTGTATAGATACAACATATCACAAGATCTCAGAAGGGATTGTGTATGATAATTATTAGTACTGTATTTTCTATTATTACGTATTGCCCTAAATTATTCTTTTGATTTTACTGTGGTGGGGGGGACTTGTGAGTATCATTAATAGATGGATATACAGTAGAAGGTTGAGGTGAAGGATGTACTGTATTAGAAGTGAGGTATTTGGACTTTGTTCATACCTTCAATAGTTTATGAAGATATTAAAGCATTGAAAATAAATGGAGTTTGGCTACCTCACATTAAAAGGAAAAAATTAATCAGTAATTTGGATCACATGAAGTTTAACCATGGTAAACTTAACTCAATTTAATTATCACAGTACAATATATACCAGTAAACTGGGGTGCCTAATAATTTTGATATGCTTATCTATCTATTTTTCATTGCTCTGAAGTTGTGTAGTTCAGAATTACGTGTTTTCAGGTTGGGCAGCGTGCAAGGAAGAAGGCAGCAGGTGAGGAGGAGTGCTGCCCACCCCCCATCCCACCACCCTTTACTGTGCCATTCACTATGATTGTCAACATCCTTCAGTGTGACGTGTTTCTCCATATTATTAAGACTGTCCTCAAGAGGTTAGTTATTTTGACATTGTTATTTATATAATTATTCTTTTTATTATTATTCCTGTGTTGTTGGGTGTATAATCAAGGCTTGAAATTTGAGGTACTGTACTGTAGTACCTAGAACTTCAGGAAGATAACCAAATTTAGGTACCAGAACAGGAAGATGCAGTAGTGCTTTAAGAGGAAGGAAGGAAGTAAGAAGAAGGAGGGGCAACTAAATATTAACACCTTTAGGATATAATGAATACTCTTAAGTGCTGATGTCTATTGTATTTGATCAGTTTGGTCCCAAGCTTCACCATTAGGACTGAGACCCACTCTTGCTGAAACCCTAATGTGGTCCTAATAGTTTGGATATTTTAGTATTTTAGATTAACCCCTGGGTTATAGTCGCCACCCCCACCCTCATGTATGGGTATATTTGGGAACATTTAAAAAATAATTCTAGGCTTGCAAACTGGTGGCTATGCATGATATAAACAGGTTGGCAACACCGGGGCTAGGAAGAGTCAAGAATGTTTGCGAAGTGCCATGTGTGTGTGTTAAAATAGTAATGAGGTAAATGCTCTAATTTGTAGACAGTATGAGATACAGGACACTTGTTTTACTGTGTTATTACTATTTACACTATTAACAATCATTATTTCTGCTCCAGTAATTGATCATAATAGTAGACTTGTGCCTGGGGGTGGTCGTGTAAACACGTGATGAAGGGAGTCAAGTTCATGAGGCGAGATTCTTTCATCACAAAAGCTGAGAGGAGGCTCATGTGTGGTTGAGTGAAAGATAAATACCTGCTTGGCAACATAATCTAGCCTCTTAGGGATTATGAGGAAACTTTCGTCGTGGCCCTCGAATTCTCCAAAGCATGGCACAAGTCTTTGCTTTCTAAACATCCCTCTTATGGTTTCTCTCCCCCAATTTGTTTTCTAATCTCTAGCTTCCTTGAGAACCGATCCATGGCAGTTGTTGTCGAGGGATCGATCTCTCGTTCTTTCTTTACCAATAGTAGTGTCCCACAGGGTTCTGTTCTTTCACCTACTCTCTTCCTTCTTTTTATCAATGATTTACTTCATACTACAACTAATTCTATCCATTCTTAAGCAGATGATTCTACTCTTCACTCCTCTTCACTTTTTCCTCTTCCTCCTAATTCTCAAACTAGATCTGTTTCTAGAGCTGATATCATTACATCTATCAATGCGGATCTGTGCAGCATCTCTGAATGAGGAAGTAGAAACTTAGTTAAATTCAATAGTAATAAAACTCAGTATTTACCAATAACACTTTCTAAATAAGATCATCTCCCACCAATTACATTTCAGGATGCTATCATTCTGCCAAATTCTAAAATAAATATGCTAAGCCTCACCATTTTCTCTAATATATCATGGAAGCCACACATCCTCAACATTGCTAAAGCTGCCTCCCGAAAGTTGGGAATGCTGTACAGATAATGTAGCTTCTTCACTCCTGAGCAGTTGCTTCAAGTATATAAAGGATTCATTCGTCCTAACTTGGAGTACTGCTCTCATATCTGGGGTGGCCTTCTTCTGTCCAACTGTTAGTTAGGGTGGAATCAAAGGCATTTCATCTTATTAACTCTCCTCCTTTGGTTGACAATCTTTCTTACCCTTTCTCTTTGCCGCGATGTTGCTTCACCTCTCTATTTTACTGGTACTTTAACGGGCAATGTTCGGTGGATTTGGCATCCTGTGTACCGCCGGCAAGGCCGTGGGCTTGTAACACACGTTTTGCGCGCGGTGCCCATCGTTTCTCTGCGGATGTCGGTCACACTAGAATAACCCATTATAGTACATCCTTCTTTCCTCACACAGCCAAACTGGGGAATGCTCTTCCTTCTTCTGTGTTTGCACACTCATACAATCTGTCTCACTTTAAAAAGCTGGTTTTCCGGCATCTTTGTGGTGTAGATTAGTATAACCTTTTTCTTTTCTATTTTTAATTTTTTTCTATTCTTATTTTTTCACCCCCTCGGCGCCGTTGTGGGTTGCTTGGCACAGCTAATTCCCGTAAAAAAAAAATCAAAACGTCATGTGACGTGACCCAAAGCCTAAGGGTCAAGCCAGAGCCCAACTGACCCGAATCTTGCCTAATACTGTACTGCATATTATTGTAAAATTATATTTATTTATTCTACATGCATTGTTGGTATATTATACAGGGTGTTCCAAAAGTCTGTGGTCATAGTCAGAATCCACCAAATATCTTTTCTTCATCAAGCATTCAAATTAAATGCTATAAGCTTACATACAGATTATAGATACAAATCCTTGCACATAATTTCATCTGAATTTTTCTCAGTTCCTCGGCATTAATTTTAATACATTCATTCTGAAACTATCCATTTTGATGATAAATGAGTAAGAACATTTGATGCATCCTGTACATACTGTAGGTAGTAGGAAGCTACCAAACAGGGAGGTACTACCGCCTGGGAAAATATTGGAAGCATAATGTGTTGTCTGTGGTAGACCCTGCTGCCATACGGCATCACGAGAATTGTGACCAAGTCCCAGGTTGCTGATCTGACTTTCTGCCCCATTTACACACAATTGCAGGGTCTCAATTGTTTCTCTTACCATTGACAACACAACATACATATATTGTTTCTCACTTTTTATCTTTTTTTCATTTTTGTAATTCTTTATTATTACTACTGTACTACTACCTGTACTACTATTTTTTTTTTTTTTTTTTTTTTTACACGTGGCCTCCAGCCTCCCCCACTACTACTACTACTACATTTTTGCCCCCAGGCCCCGATGTGGGTCAGTGACCTGTGCCTGGGTGGGCAAATCCCCATAAAAAAAAAATTAAATAAAAACATTATTAACTGAACTGAATTTTACTATTTACTCTCACAGAATGAGTGAAACCAAAGCTCAGAGTGTGAGTGAGTCACAGCTGCAGAAGGTCCTCCACTTGGTTGGCTATGCACTTCATGAGGAGGAACGATACCACCGTAACAACGATCCCTACTTTCATTTCACCCGTCGTGCCCAGAAGATTAATCTCCTCTCCCTGCTCGAGGGTTTGGTTGGACATCACCGAACATCCACACACAAAGATCTTTTGGCATGGACCATCAGAAAGTAAGTTGGAATATACTGGAAGGGAGTTTGTTTAACCAATTCTCCCCCCAATAACCACTACACTATGTGTTGATTATATTATGTTGATTCCTTCACTTGTTGAGAGGTATCAATCCAGTCTTAAATTTTATGTACCCCATGATTAACCCATTACAGAAGTGGAAAGGATGGATTGATTAAAATAGTTTATTTAGACAGAAAATACAGATACTAAGTGAACAATAACAACACTGTTCACATGGCTGAGGCTATAATGAGAGCCAAGGCACTCTTGAAGAAAAATTTGATTGAAAAAGGCAATCATCAAGGATTTCTTTGCATCATCCTATTGAACTGCTGACTATGATTAATATTGGTTGTAGATGCTTGAACATGTCTGTAAATACAAATATTTTCTACTGTTCATCATGGAACTGTCATAATTATTTCTCCCATAGGTACCATGCAATTCTTAATCTGTCCACGGACTCCACAAAACAAAGCCAGGCATCAGAGGCAGTACTGGCCTCGACCTCAACCTCCGAGTCAGCCACAGCTACAGCCGAGAAGAAAAGGAGGGCCGACATTGCCGCCCAGAGAAAAGCTCGTATTATGGCTAAGATGGCCTCTATGCAACAAAATTTCATCAAGACAAATGAAACATTTTTTGAGGTGAGAGGGAAAGTATTTGTGTTGGGATGACTACTTATAGTGTGTTTTTCCTTGTAAGGGGAAGAATGTGTTCGTGTTGGGGATCATAATTTGTTGCTGCTTGTTGGCGCTTGGTTGTTTGAAGTGAATGCTAAAAGTAGATAGATATCTTGGAGCCTTGTGGAAAAGGAATATTAGTGAACTGTATATGTGATGTATCTACTCAACCTGTAACAGGCCTACAGTCCTATGGGACCTCAATTTCACTGTTATCAATACTGTTTATCTCTGTCAACTACCATCTATTTGAAAGAATCCTTCCACAGAACACAAACTTGCTCCACTATATTATTTATTAATGTGTGTCTCTTTCTTTTATAGGAAACTCCCTCAACAGAACAGGTAGCAGACATCCCAGAGACCACCCCCATGGAATTAAGTGAGCAATTAACTGAGGACATGATAGCAATTGGTCCACGCCAGACACTAAGACCGCCTTTGGAAGTAACGTAAGTCTTTGTAAATTGTAGTTAATTTTAAAATTATTTCATACTTAATAACTAGCTATTTTTATGCAGTCTATTAGTTGGTGAAATTATCAGTGGTTAACCCCCACTCAAATGTTAATCTTGCCATGAACTGGTGGTTTGGGCTCCATATATCCATTTGTTTATTTATGTCATCAGCCATATCACAGATCTACAGGAATGGATTTTGTTCATGGTGAGAGACACCTCCATATCTACACCATTTTGCATTACAGATTAATACTCATATTTTCCATTAGGTTCTTGTTTTGTTAAAGGCTTGGTCATTATTTATGATTTTTTATATATTGAATGTTCTTGAAGTTAAAGTGGGCTATTTTGTCACCATGACAGGTACACATGCATCCTATGCCATCAAGAGGACATTGTTGGTAGAGGAGATGGTAGCACAGGGAGGCCAATGGTTCTTGGTGCCCTCATTCAAAGATCTACTGTGTTATCTCGTAACCGTACCCGACATTTGGACCAACCTGAGAGTCATGACCCACTGTTGTTGCCTTCAGACTTGCACTGGGGTGCACATACTTCTTCTTGTGGTCATGCCATGCATGCACAGTGTTGGCAGAAATACTTTGATGATGTACTTATCAAAGAGAGGCGGAGACCTTATCGGTGAGTACCCTGTATACTGTTTATGTATATATATGCTATTCTGTAAGTATTTACTAGAAAATTATAATACCTACTGTATTTGCCGGTATATAAGACGCACCACCGCAAAAGACGCACCCCTATTTTACAAGGATATTTTGTGGAATTTTTTATTATGTTTCGTCATCCAATTATTGAAAGTGATTTTAAAGTGGTTTTGTAGGGGAAAACATATGATTTTGTGCATGTAAATACAATATATACTGGAATCAAGTAGGAAATCATATATAGTAACATTATACTAACCCAACTCTACCTATGATCAGAGCAGCTGTGTGGCTTGTTTATATTTTGGTCAAGAGAATTAACGACAGGATGTGAAACTCGTATTTTTAGCTGTGATGTTTTGTGCTGCCGCGATCGGCCACCAGGGTGTAGCACCATATGCTATTGTTTTGGCGTCATCGACTCATTGCAAATGGCTGACTGGTGGCTGAACTTTCTGTTAACATTTCTTTAATCTTTCTAGGAGCATTTTTCATTAAGATAAAAAACAAATGTTTCTTAAAGGTAATACAGTCCTTAAATAATGTAAGACATGTATCTGGTGTGGGTTACGTATGCTGGGGATGGAGGTACAGTGAGATGTTATGAGCTTTCCTCTGCCGTTAAGCCAATGTAAGCCATTATTTACGTCTTCGACAAATTTGCCGTAAGTTTGTGATAATTTGGCTTGTTTTTCAATATTTTATTATTAGTAATATTATTAGTAGCACAATTTTTTTGCTTAGTGGACTACTGCTCGTCCCAGACTCCCTAGCTAGGCACCTCCGCCTATGGCGCTCGGCCTCCCATCCGTAATATGGGCGCATTAGATGCAGGGTGATTTGTGATACATTTAAAAAAAATAGAAAAAATGCGTCATACACATTTTTTGGATTCTAAACTAGGGGATTACAGAGATCCCAAGCTGGACCCCAATCCTGACCTTCACCATATTGGACTCAGGGTGATTTAAGGGTAAAAATTTGATGAAAAAAAAGCACGTTCTATATGCTGCAAAATACGGTAATTGTCATGCTTTTTAGGGATACTATCTGAATAGTGGTAATGCAAATTAATATTTTTGTTTTTAAAAAGGTTTGGACCGAATCGTACATGGCAACAGTCAAGTAGATGACTGCTATACAGCATAAACTATGAATGAATACTGGTAGTATCAGTGCAACTACCCAAATTATATTTTACTTAGTCGAACTTATCCAACCTAACTTAAAGTTTGATAATGTAAAGATAGAAAAAGACTTAGTAGATGAATGTCAATATTGTACTGTACTATCATGATTGCAAAGATTTTTCTGGCATTTGAAAAGGATAAATTGAACATCTACATTTGGCAAAAGAGTCAACTGATTGTTAAAGCTAACTTGCCATATTATCCCTCAAAAGCATGATAACAACAGTTGGAATGTATCATGTAGTGTGTATTACTCGGAGAGAGATATTAGTTTGGGAGAGGGAGAAGACAAAGGAGGAGGTGGAAGGATGGGGTGAGGAATACATTAGAAGTGAGTGAGATACACCCAAGAATGACTGGAGATCGTGGCTACTGGTGATGAGGAGTGCAAGGTTGTGTGGGATGGGGAGAATTTGGTGCAAGATCTCTGGAGCACACTTACAGGATCAAAGGTATAGAGTTTTGTGCAACCATTGAATGCTAACGTAATTAAGGGGAGTGTCCGGCTGAAATGCTTCATAATATTTGTTAATAATTGATCAATCAATATCAATTTCCTGTCACCATTTAAGGACACCAGATGCATTGTTGCTATACCCCTGAATTGGTTCTGCCTAATACCCTAATGCCTGATTTTTCCCTTGTATACTTATCAGTTTTCAAAATTGTACTTCTCCATAACTTCTCCCTAGATTACGTTGAAATTCGTGTGGAGTTTAGGTAATTTACTCCTCTTGAACGTGACCTATAGATATTTATGATTATTGCAATTATTTTGGATGCATTAATTTTTTTCCTTACCATTTTTTCCTCCAAATATTTATAAAGATAAATGGGCAAATAATAAACCAAGCCAAATATAAAGAAAATCTATATGTTCAGCCATGCACAATGTTATTCTACTACAGTAATCCTGTATTTTTTGCGGGAATTACGCTCCTGGAAACAACCCCTCCCCCAGTTAACCCTCACTTTACGCGGTCCCACATTCCGCATTTCCACGTTTACGCGGTGCCCTGCCGGAACCCAGGATGCTCACATTCCGCGGTGCGTGTACCCCTTTACGCGGAGAGCGGCTGGCGAGCCGCGCCATTTTTGGATCCAAACCTCCCGCCATCCGCCATGTTGTGTAAGCTGCGCGAACATGATGCGCACAAGGTCGCCCAGTCATCAAAACATTACCAGTTCTTCACCCACCACAGCCGGCCCAAGTCAGTGATAGTGATAATTATGGTGAGGATATGGACTTATATGGACTTTGGGGAGTTTGACAAAGAGGCCCTGCAAGCCTCTGTGGTGGATAGTGATACAATTGATACAAGTGACACAGGTGAGGGCCAATAATCTGCCCTCTGCCTCGGAACCAACCGCCCATCCCCGTGTGCCCAGCCATTTTTTCTACTAATGTAAGTGTTAAAAAACCTAATATTATTGATATTTCTCTTAATTATTAATTGTGTGTGCATACCATCATAAAGTTAAGATAATATTTTTACTACAACATAGTTGTGTGTCGTCAAAAAGTGGAGTTTGGGGATCGACCCGGACTCCATTTCAATTAATCCCATATGTTATGTTATTCACTTTACGCGTTTCTCACTTTACGCGGGACCCTCCGGGTTACATTAACCGCGTAAAGTGAGGGTTAACTGTATATATATATATATATTTCCGATTTTCATCGTATTTTCAGCTGGACGCTTCCCTTAAAGTGTAACTGTTGTATAGTTGGTGTTAGGTTTTATCACCTAGAACTTGGATTTTCAGGAGAGTATTTGTTTTAGAACCTTTTAAGTCATATTACTTAGAACTGAATGACTAAATAAGCTTTGGGTAGAGTTGGCTTATATATAAATAAGTTGAGGGGTTAAGTTACAAACTCAAAATGGTCTTTTCTTCATTTATTGGTAAAACTATATTGGTCACAGCCTATCAGCAGATGCACCGTAATTAACACTGTAAGCTGTGAGTGTTAGTTAAGGACGGGGCTAATACATGACACTTGACATTCTAAATGCTGATTATGTAATATTTTATTCTGCTAATTGCTGTAGTTCAGATTGAAGGAACCCTGCATAAGTGCTAGTCATATAAGAACACATTAATACAGATTACACTACAGTACTTAGAATTTAATTGGGTCACTGTGAGCACCTGTGATTCACATGGGGTCATTATGAATACTTGCATTGACATAATGAGGATTTGTGGAGGTATTTGAGAGGTTGAGGGAGGCAGACAGACCTGCTGCTTATGTCTGGTACAACAAATAGACTGGATAAAAGCATGAAACAAAACTACTATCCAACAGGGCCTGAAATCAAGAGGGTTTATCTTCCCCAAGAAAGACTTAACTTCTCATGTTTAGTGAATGGCTCACAACTCGGAGTTATGCTGTGGAAATCATTTTCCAATAAAATCAAAATATGATTTTAGCCTTTGACCTTTTGAACCCTAAATTATTAAGGTACATTTTGTTTACACAGGGAACACGTGTACCAAATAGGGTTCATATTCTGTGTTTTTTGTTTTTTTTAGATTGTAACGGAAACTAGAACAACATGCATGTGCTGCTTCATTTAATAATGCACTGGAGACTGTGACAACATTTTAGTCTGCACAGTAATTCTGCTGTGTACATCATCCCCGTGTTAAACTTTACTTGGGACTTGCCCATAAGAATGAACAAAAGCCTCTTGGTTTAAGGGTTGACAGGTGAACAGTGTATGCAGGTCTGATGGTGTCCTGTACAGTAGTATATAGTACAGTACATAAACTCTTATGTAGGAGTGAATGAGACATGAGACATGGTGTGTATATATATATATATATATATATATATATATATATATATATATATATATATATATGATAACCACGAGAAAAAAAAACGCAAAGTTCCCAAGCGCTTTCGTGTAATTCACATCTTCAGGGGTGAGTACAGACTAAGGAGAAATACATAACAAGGCTTATATATACAGTAGAGGAGGGTGAGATCAAGTCCACAATGGTTCGGTCACTAGGTAGTGACCCTACTAATCTTCAAAAGCACTGCAGCAGTTGGTAGTCAGGTCAGAGGGTGAGATGACCCAACCTTCTTACCTGGTTACAAATCTTCTTAATTACGAAATTATCCAGTTTGTACATACCATTACTCAAATTCATGTTGATGGATTCGTTATGTTTAATGAGACTGGATTCTATAATGTTCCTACTGTCAATTCAATTACAAGGTAATATCGAGGAGGCATTATCCCAGTCAATGCAACGCTTATTATCCCTCAAATGTACAAACAGAGCATTGGATTCCTGGCCTGTCCTAACACTATATTTATGTTGTTTAAGTCTAGTTACAAGATCTTTACCTGTCTGGCCTAAGTAAAACATATTACATTCCTTGCAAGGAACCTTATAAATGCAGCCGCCTGTATTGTTGGGGGAGTTCTTGATTAACATTTGTTTAACAGTGCATGAGTTTTTAAATGCCACATTAACATTCCAGGTTTTTAGTGTAAAGGAATTTGAGAGAAATTTTTGTGAAATGGTAATACTCAGAGATTCTTATGGTCATGGGTGGGCTTGGGATCAGTTCTATTACACGAAAGTGCTTGGGAACTTCGTGTTTTCTTTTTTCCTCATGGTTATCAGCATATATATATATATATATATATATATATATATATATATATATATATATATATATATATATATATATATATATATATATATATATAATATATATAATATATATATATATATATATATATATATATATACTTTTTTG